ATGACATGATAGGGCAATTCAGGGACAAGGCCAATATAGGAATCAAAGAAGCATTCTTCTATCCAGCTGAGAAAAATATTCACACGCTCCTAAAAGAGGTTATTGAAAGAAAAGGCATTAAGTGTGAGGACCAGTTCCTTAAGATGTACAAGAGCATGGGTTCACTGGGGTGGACAGAGTCACTTCAATGACACAAAGACAACTAGCTATACAGTCTTAAAATTTTCTTCAAGCCACCCTCTTATTGTCTCATGCTTACCTAATATACCTATAAAATATCTGTACTGTCTTAGTCTTAGTCCTTATATTTAAACTGTATAAAATCTAAAATTAAATAATTAAAATCATTAAATAAGGTAAGCCACTGTGTGAAAATCTTAGAATGAAATAAATTGCAAAGAATTTGTAAATAGTTATTCAGTTGCATTTCAAAAAACAAAATCTTTAACTTTCAATGAATAGAACGGTTATAAAATAGTGAACTTGTCTAAAAATAGTAATTGTCTAAAAACCTCAACAAGGAAAAAAAATCTTGCAATGTTACTTACAAGACTTAAAAATTAATATGAGTGAAGATGACTGTGCAATTCAGATGTGTCGATTAGCATATGAGTCATGCATTTTCCACACTGTTCACCACTCACTGTATGTACTGTATATACATACTGTATATAAAGCTGATAAACATAAGCAAATAGATGAAAATAACGTTTAGTGCAACTACATCGACTATATGTGTAATTATTTTTATTCAGGAGTTCAATCCTCAGATTGGGTGTTGACCCAGAACAGATTCCCCCAATTTACAAGCATTTTTATGGGAAATTAATTTATGGGATTTAGTTTATGGGAATGCATCTGTCATGTAAATCAAGAGCTACCTATTGGAAGCATTAAAACAGTACAAACATAGTGTGGACACAAAGAAGGAGTGAAAACAGCCTTATGTTATGTTTTCCAGGTTCACAGTGAATAATTTCAATAAGCAAATCACTTTAACAGCTTGAGAGGTTAGAAGATTAGAGCAATGCGGTGCATGAGTGACTGAAGAATGTAATTAAGATCTAAGAAATCACAGGTGCTGTCAAAACAGATGGGACGTGATCAGGCACCGGAAAGTGGTAGGGGACTGAATAGTTTTAATTTCTGTGAGCAGATTATTTCACCACTGAGGAACATGATTAGAGAAAGGACCAGTTCTAGATATGGGAGAAAGGATAGGGAGAAAGTCTAATAGAAAAGAAGGAAAAAAGAGGGGTATATGGAGTGATAAGGGACAGAAGAAAGATGGGAGAAGAATGTGGGTGGTGGCTCTGTGGCTAAGGATCTGTGCCTGTGGCCAGATGGTTGCTAGTTATTATCCCACAGCTGGCAGAGGAATCCTACTCCATTGGGCCCCTGAGCAAGGCCCTTAACCCCAACTGCTCCAGGGGCGCCGTATAAATGGCCGACCCTGCACTCTGACCACAAGCTTCTCTCCCTCTCTGTGTGTCTCATGGAGAGCAAGTTGGGGTATGCGAAAAGACAAATTCCTAATACAAGAAATTGTATATGGCCATTAAAGTGATCTTCTCTTCTCATTCTGTGAAGCCTAGGCAAGAACTAGGGTTTTGAAATAGTTTATGGCAACAGGGAGCCAGTGCTGGACAGATGGAATAGAATGCGATAGATAATACAAGTAGCATAATTCTGGATGACTGGTAGTTGATTTTTTTTTCAGGAAAGCTAGCCAAGATGGATGTACAATAGCCTAGGCTATAAAGTAGGAGACCTAGGAGACTATACTTTTTTTTAGAAAAGTGGACTTCAAAAGCACCAACAAGACTGTACCTGAGAAAAAATTACTTTGTATTTTTATATATTTTTATAAATATATCTTTAAGATGGTGGGAGTCTACGCAGCAGACGAAAAGTGGAGACCCAGGATGGGTACAGTATGTGAGGGACAGTAATGGTATAAGAAGCAGAGAGTAAGCCTCATTCAGAGATTTTGTATGTGCCACCAGTGATATAGAAGGAAAACCAGGTAAGGGTAGTGTCCCGTTGACAGGAGAAATGTCAGTAACTGCAGCCTCTAGAATAGAGAGATTTGGTATCAAAGGTGGCAGAGAGATTAAAATAGTGTATGACAAAGAAGAGGGAGCAAATCAAGCAGAGTAAAGAGAATTGGTAAATGTGGAGAACACTTCAGTTAAATGTACCAGGCCAGACTGAAGAAAGGCAAGTAGCAAGTGTTGCAAAATAAAACACTTTATTTAACAGTATATAACAGTAGAACTGTTGATGCAGCACCCACGCATGGGTTTGAGAAAAAAAAAGAAGGGAGAGAAAGCAATAGCTCTGAAGCAGTGATGGATGAAGGGTGGGTTTTTAAAGGGACACTAATAATGCACAAATTAAAAACAGGGATAGTCATCTGAGAATAGAGAGATGTTAAGGAGAGCAGAAGTGTAGGCTTAAGGTAAGAGTACCGATAGGAAATTCTGAATCAATCATAAGGAGACTCCCTATAACCCCAGTACAACAACAACAACAACAACAACAACAACTACTACTAATAATAATAATAGAAGAAAAAATGACAAAACCTGATTTTAGTTTGCGAGACAATAGCCTGCCGCTATTGTAATAAATGGGCCTGGGAGTTGGCTGTAAGGGTGTAGATGGTGAGTGAGAGATACAAAAATGCAAGAAAGATACTCAAAGGAAAGACCTATTTTGGGACTTAGATATACTATATAGGATTTTACCATCCTCCTGAACTTCAGTTTACTCCATTAAATTTGTAACGAATGGAAATTTTAAATTACTGTATAATTAATATAGTATAGTGTACTTCTTCTCCTGACAATCCTTATACAAGTTGGATACATCATTTACTGTACATGTAAACAGTAAATATCCTTGAGGTGTTGGTCCCAGTAAATTTATCTTAAGTTCATTCCGCTGTCTTTTGAGACTTTTTGGGCAAAATTTATTTTACTGCTTTGGTCTACTTAATATTAATGTGACACTAGTTTTCTGTTTAATCCTCCTGAAGTTGTTTATTGGTATAAGTCTCATATTTATGAAAGTATAGGTACAGAGAGTCTCAAATGGTGTAAGCAATTAAATGACTACAGTATACAGTATGTAGTGTAAAAATTTCAGATTCCATATAGTGTATCCAATTAATGTCTGGCACACAAGATTGTGAAGTCATGTGGTAATTAGCATTTAATATCTGTTGTTTTTTTCTCTTACTTGATCCTGTGTTACATAACATCTGCACGCAAATAAGCCTCATTATTCTTCATTTAATAATAAGGTTGTGACTTATGTATCAATGGAAGCAATTAGAATGGAAATATTGTGTAATCCAGAAAACAGACAATGGCAGGTCTGCTATTACTGACTTTGCCATGAATCACATCCAAATCCTACAGGCAACAAATCCCTATTTAGGTCTGTGCATGGATAGAACGCAGATACAGAAATTTCTTTATCTGTTGTATTTTAAAATTTAAATTTAAGACACAACAGTTCTGTATTTTCCAAAGAAACACAAATCCAAAAAGAATATGTGCTGATATTGAACGTTGATAGACAAAAAACAGGAAAGAGGGAGCTAAATAAAAAGGTTTTTAGTTAAGAAGAAGCACCTGACCATGCTGTCTCAGTTTCACTAGCAGAGCTTAGCCTTTTCATATGTCCTTCGACAAGAAAGGTTTCTAGAATTCAGTACAACCAAGTATGATCTAAGGGCACAGTACTGTATCTCTGTCTGCCTCCTGCTTCATAAGGTAGATCTATTCAGCTGTAGTTTTAAGGAGGCAGTACCATGAAGTTGGGAGGTCAGTTCTTGTTTTCATCAGACTTCTTTGTTTTTCAGTGAATCCTGTATTTTGGTATTTATCATATCACCTTACTGTATCTGAGTAATGATTGCATTGTAGTTGTGTAACTCACATTAGCCATTTGTACTGCTTTTTGTGAGTTGTGAGAGTTTTTGAACGTCTAGCTTTGCTGTCCTAAGGAAACATGCTGAGGAAATTCAAAAGTGGGTTAGTCAAAAATGATCAATATGCATTAGTCAATTAATTAATTGGTTGGCACCATAGAAATGCATAACTATTGTAATGTCCAGAACACAATATGGGTATATAAGCCTGTGTGTGATTCCAACTGAGTTACAAGGATAGTATTTGCGTTCTGCGTACTGTATACTGTACACAAAGCTCCTTCTTTGTCAGTTTTCCCACTCTCTCAGCTCACCATGTTATGTTTTTGCAGCAGTCTTTACATTACAGATTGTACTGTGAGTCAAAGTATCAATCATATATTTTAATTACACCTACAAGAGCATATCAAGCCAGCTGAAATCCATGTAAAATGTTCTGCATACCAACCTACTGAGCAAGGGATAAATCAGATGACTGGTTGTAAGTGGGATGCATTTGGGTTGTACTGTATTTGCAACATTAGCAGAAATAACAAAGAAATATAGAGCCATATAGTGGCATATATAGTGCCATAGCAAAACAAAGAACAGTTTAATGAGGCAGTTAAGTTGTAAATACACTGTAGGAGAACTTTAAATGTTTCAGTGAGTGAAATGAATTATCTTATTAGCACCATACAGTATGTTCAAACACGTTAAAGCTTAATACATTCTGCTTTCTCTAAGGATTTGAGTTTGGTAACTTTTGAATATAGGGCAAGATATTTCTTATTTACAAGATAATACTACATCCTAGTATTAATTTCTAGTAATATGCTTTTCTTTGTTCTTTCTATGCTCTATATTTTGTTCACAGTCATGTCAAGTATTAATAATTTTAATTAAATTATATTTTTCTTCAGTTTTTCTAGTCATAGTGTACACAATGTAATCTATAGCATACTTTGCCACAGGTGCTTAAATGGGTTTACAGCAGTACTAACCAAAAACGGTTATTAATCTTTTATTAACAATATTATTATAAATCATAAAGTTATATTTTCTCTGGGTTTTTTGTCAGGCACCAATGCTAAACATGGACTGCGCTGCAAAGCCTGCAAAATGAGCATCCATCACAAGTGTGCAGATGGCGTTGGACAGCAGCGATGCATGGGCAAGTTGGTAAGACATTCTTTTTTTCCTGCATTTTTTAAAGCAATGATAACTAGATGTTTTGTTCTGCTGCCATCCTTTGTAAGGCTTCCTTCCTAGCACAACAGATTTTCAAACCAGCTGTTTCATATCAGCCACATTGCAGAAATCTTTTAAACATGGACTTGAGTGATAGCCCACAAAATAGAAACTTAACAGTACAAAAGTTTCTTACCTTTAACCAAAAATATTTTGTGTCTTTACATGAACAAAACTATTGTTTGATGTGAGAAATGTTTAATTACAGGATGGCTTTTCCTTACTCCCTATCAGATACTGAGCATTTTTCAATGAACGCAAGAGTTGTATTTCTGTTTTTGTTTCCAGTTAAAGAGAATGATTGATGATTATTCTTATAATAGAGATTAAATTGGGTGATGGAATACAAATCAAGAAAGAGCCATAAAGGATATTCTGTGGTGGGGTCACCTTGTTTATTTTGGCATTCTTTGTAGAACCAGCTAATGTAATATTCAGCATCTTAATAAGCACACATTAAGGTGTTTTTTAAAAATAATCTTTTACACCAATCAGCCCTCTAATTGTTAGACATAAAATAATGTGACACTAATACAGTGTATTGTTCTAGTGACTATGAGACCAAGGATAGATGTGAATTGAATTTTATGTTGCTTTACATAAGTACCAAATACCAAAGCACATATTAACCTCAGTATATAATTAATCCTCTTTGTTTTCATCAAATACAATGACTGTTACATAGTTTTTTTCTTTTTTATGTTGAATTCATAATTCTATTCAGTTTGTGTTTCATTTTTTTCTTTATTCCTGTACCAAGTAACAAATTTATCCTCATGCTTCTTCTGTATGCTGAATGTGTTCATGCATTTTTAATGAAGAAGCTAGGAAAATATTCTTCGACATGCCAGATCTCGTCTGTCGTTTAGCTGTCTTCAGTGGTACTCCAGGGGATTGATAGTCACAACCAAGCAAGAACAGACATTTCCAAGCTTCACACTAAGAGAAAAAAGCAAAAAATAAGTCATATATCATATCTCTTGGCATGCCTGCTGCAAATTTCCACATAGAGGTCAGGTGCCACTAGGAAAAAGTGTGGTTTTGAGACCTGTGCAATACACATCCCTAGTCACATTACATTACTGATGAAAAAAATAGAAGCAAACAAGCTGTGTTGTTTCCTTATACAATATGATTTGAAGATTAGCAATTCTGTGATATGGTTGTATTTCAGAAATGGTAAATAAAGTGCAGTGTTGATAATAAACAATAGTATTCCCCATAGACCTCAAATCTATTTGTAGTTATATTTCTTTAAATGCATGCATAAATTTGTTCTTTGACTACTGTTTGATGTGCTTTTTCTATAGAATTTGTGGATTTTTAAAAGAAAAATCCTTTTGTCCTATAATACCTTGTCTACATTCTAGTGGTGCTTTTAAAACTGTGATACTGTATATTTTAAATTAATTTTGAGAACATAAAAAGGTTGTAACATGTAGAGTCCAGGTACAGACGTGGAGAGGCTAGGTGCACATACAGTAGCAATCAATAACTCCTTGGCTATGTAATCTAGGTCTATTGAATCCTAGTCCTGAAGGCACACACACTTAATGGTTTTCATTCCAGCTGATCTTTATTACCTAATTGAAGCTTTAATTGAACTGACAAGTTGCTTGATTGTAATATTTTTCTGTTTAGAATTCTGTTCAGAAATTTAGAAATGTATTTTACTTACATTATGAATTGTAATAGTTAAAAGACAACCTCCAATATTTTTAAGAGCTGAAAATAGCCGAACAGTTTGAATTAATTCTGTTATGAAGTCATTTAAGGGTCCAACTGTGTAACAAAGCTCTGCTAAATCCCAGACGGTCTGTGGGCCTACAGGACCAAGATTGGGAGTCCTGTATTAGTTAAATAGGCTTCCTGTCTTATCTCTAGGCAATGCCTACCCCTCCAGTGTTGTATTAATGTCAGACATAAAGCAGAGAGACTGTACTTCTCTGTGTGGGAGACTGTCCACAGTAGTGTTGACATGCTAAAGCTGAGGATTGGCAAACTGATATGGATGCTCTACCCTTCCAAGCAATGTAATAATAGGCCTGTCATTTGTGACTCAAGTAGAACCTAGAGAAGAAAAGTGCCTTTAAAATTCAGCACAGGAGGCACTTTTTTACATAAATGGCTGTGGGAATCCAGAAAGAAACAAGTTGAGATTCTTGAATCCCTTAATTACTAGCAAGTAACAAAATTAGGTGGGCCAAATTCTTTGTGGTGATCTGGTTTTGATCCATAGTCCAGCCTACCTTTCCTTTCAATGTTACAACATTCTGTATACACAAGGTATAATATAAAAAATAGAAAAAAATATGGAAGGGCGGCAAGTTAAATATTTTTGTCTTCAACTATACCGGTTCAACAAGAAAACGAGCTTCAAATTAAAACTTGTATTCTTCCTTGTTTTGAAGAGTCAGTTATGTAAGGTTGTTTGTAAAAATGATATCTGAGTAAATTCTGAAGAACATTTACAGTTGAATGTAATTGGCACCATCTTCCTTAAAAGGAGGGGGGATTTCAGTTCCAAAATCTATACATTTTCTAACTGCTTTATCCAATTCAGGGTCATGGGGGATGCCGGAGTCTATCCCAGAAAGAAACATGTGGAAGGCAGGATACCCTGGACAGGACACCAGTCCATTGCAGGGTACACATACTGTAGAGAAACACACACTCACCCCAGAGCCAATTTTTCCAGAAGCCAATTAACCTAAAAGTTGGACTGTGGAACTGGAAGAAACCCACATGCCCAAGGGGAAAACATACAAGCTCCACACAGATAGCACTCCAGGAACTGAACCCAGAACCCCAGGCAGAAATGCTAACCATTACACCGCTGTGATGCCTCTGAATTGATCAAATTTGAAACAAAGTAAAAAAGAACAGTTCCTATTAATCAGTCTGGGTGAAAAACTTTTTTTTTGTATTCCTATTGTTAAAACATGTATTAATGAAATGTTTCTATTTTAATTATTGAGACAATATAAAATTAGCAGAGATATTTTAAATGTATCCTATTGTAATTGTAGATGATGTGTAAACATTGTTATTGATTCTCAAATAAGCCCACTCACATGAAAGAAATGACATTTTAAGTTTGACTATCACCCTTCATAAAAGAGGGAAAACAGGATGTTAATAAAAGCCCTGCCCAACTGGTGGTATGTTCTCTCGATGTTCACATGGGTTTTCTCCCACAAACCAAGGACATACTGTACTGGTAGGTTAAATGGTTTCTGGGAAAATTGCCCCTGATTTACGAGTAGGGGTGTTTGTGTCTGTGTGTGCCCTGCGATGGACTAGCCTCCCATCCAGAGTATATTCTGCTTTGTGTCCATTGCTTGCCAGGATAAACTCCACCTTCCCCACAACCCTTTATGGATTAAATGGTAATAAAATGGATGGATGATGTGCAGTTTACATAGAGTATGCTGTTTGACTAAATATAAATATAGTTCAGATGGGTAGCTGCGTCAGCATGCGTACTTGTTCCTAAATATAAATATATACAGTGTACAGTATGGTTAACTAAAAAAAGATTATTAATATATAAACAAAACTATATATGATGTTTATACTGAGTTGAACATTTTCTTTGTCTATCTCTTATGTGAGGAATGTACTTTATACATTTTGAGGGAATATTTTTTTTTGCATTGACAACCCAATGTGACTCTTAATTGCATTTTCAAAACCATAACCATCTTTTGCTTTACTAGTCCCTTTTAAAAAGAAAATTGAATTCCACCTCAAAGTCCAGTCAATCCCTCAGTTTAATCACTTTAAAGATATTGGTTAATATTAGTTAATAATATTGGATATTATGTTCCTCAATAAAAAAGAAAATAAATTAATGTGATAATTATGTGCAAATAAAGGATTACCTTACAGTAGACGTTGCACCTGTTTTAACTTTATGCATTCATTTAACTAATTAAAACCAAATTAAAATAACAGTGTGCCCACTGTTTTTCAAAGTGCATTGTGAACAAAAGCAGTTCCTCAACAAGACAGGTAAATTTCAGTTACTAACATTATAATAAGTGTAGTCATATATTATAGCAAATATAAAAGCTTTTCACAATATTGGAGTTATCAGTTGTATATAAATAACTGTCCTTCTCTAACCTGATTACATGTTAAGGCTATATTATTATAAGACAAACCTGTTGTATGAAGTATAAAAACTATCATAATTACTGAAATTTAGAAATTGCTGCTGTGTACTTTGGTATGACTTTGGTATGATAAAATAACTGATGAGTTCTCAGAAATACCAGATTTTCATTTTCAATGATTTTCAAGATCATTTTGCTTAGATAATATTTACAAATGTATATCAACATGCATTTTTAATCAATGTTTGTAAAGACACAAAGAATGCAGAAATGGAAGTTACTAGGGAAAAGCAAGTATGTAAAGGGAGCAAGAGTAGGAAGAGAATGTGGCCACACATGGAGTGTTTAGACGTATTTAGCTGCCGGGACATTGCCCATGTTGCTGTATTGATCTCATCACTGACGTGGTTCTCTTCTTCCTCTCTCCCTCATTAGCCAAAAGGATTTCGTCGCTACTACAGCTCCCCACTGCTCATCCAGGAGCAATTTGGCTGCATCAAAGAGGTGATGCCTATTGGTGGGTATCGATTTTTCCTGTACTCTCAATGAATGCACAGACCTATATTACAAATACGTGCCTGATTGCTCTAGGCAATTTCTTGCTCACTTGTCAGTTCTAATTTACCTCTTTCTTCATATTCCCTCCTCCCAGCCTGCGGCAGTAAGGTTGACCCAGTATATGAGACCTTACGCTTTGGAACTTCTCTAGCACAGAAGACTAAGAGGTCCAGCACTGGCAGTGGCTCTGAGTCACCACATCGAAACTCTGTAAGTGAAGTGTATAGTTATACTCATCTGTGTCAGCATGAAAAAGAAGAAACATTCAGTAGTATGCTGTGCTCTAAATCATAGTTTTTAAGGTTACAAACTAATTTATATTCATACGGGATCACATTCAAAGCTTGTTCCTTAAGAATAAAATTTGCTCCCCCTTTTCTATATCTAGAAAAAAACTTTCTATAATAGAAAATTGATTTCTTCATGAAAGTTTAATATATATTAATCTTCCTCACAATTACAGTACACTATTTTTTAGAGAGCAAGCTAGTTTCTTAATGGCCATCCTCCCATGTTCAGGCTTTTCCTGAGGCATGAACACAGACAACAGTCATAGCAGAAGAGGCATAGAGATCGTTAAATGTTACTGTGGAGTCCTTTTGAACTTCCTGGAAGATGTTCTGAAGGATTTTTCTTGGGAACATTTTAGCAGGCCAGCTGGTCTTGGGAGTAGTAACTATGGTCTTGAATATTTTTGTTTTATAGAGGAAAGGATTTGTAACTTTTTCAAGATGAATGGGTATTAACTACTCTTTTCCTGAGGTCAGTTGAAATCTCTTCTGATTTCAGAATCTGTATGGCAAAAAAACAAACTCACTAAATTTCAGAATATTATTTAGGAAAGGAATGCGCACACTTAATCCTTGTTTGAGTTTGTCCCAATTATTTACAGAAACCACTTGATTCTAATTACCCCTTAATTGCGCAACATAAACGAGATGTTTAGGCTGATTCCTATTTTTTTTCATTTTCATAATTTATAGAAAAAACCATTAAATAAAATACAAACCATTGTTTCAATTAAACCATATTTCAATTAAACGATGCCATGTTAACAATTTGTAATTTCCACAATTATGTTGGAGGCTCACAAACATTTTTCACAGCACTGTAGTTGTAGATAAAACAACAACATTAATAGCTATAATTTGAGACTCTAGACTTTTACAAACACAAAGAGAACCGGGTTTACTTGGGTTTATGTTTCTGCTTCAATCTGGGCACACTCAGAATTTTGGACATAGGCAAAGGTAAAATATTATATCATAATGTTTTGTACTGTAGATCAAATTTAGGAACCCAAACTTTCAACACTGAAAAAATAAACCTGAGGCTGAGTATGTACCTGCAAGATATCTTAAATAAGTCTGAATTTGACAGCAGAGAAAAAAAATATTTTCACAACTATTAAAAAATTAATATAATTTTATATATTACTCTGTGGATGAATTATTCAGTGCAGAGGTAGCAGTACTTGCCAACCCTCCAAAAATGTGTGGGATAGAAACCTGGGCCCAAATGTGACTGTTTAGTCCAGAGCAGTGAAGGCTGATTTATTACATCAATAGTTATTTATTGATGTAACAGCAGGCTTCCCTGAGTTATTAATCTCTGCTTAATAACTCATTCTGATGTATAATGAGCAAGTCACTAGCTGTAATTTATTATGCAGTGTGTTGGAGGAGGTGACAGAGGTGGAAAATACTTGTGTTAGAATGTGAAACACCTGCTCTAATGAAACACTTTTAAGACATTCATGGAAGCATTCACAACTGTCTTTTGGATCTAAAATTGCCCTTATTTACCTCACAGAATCCATTAGGCACTGTAATATTTCAAGAAATCTCCTACTGATATCTAAATTCATTTCAGCGGGTGCCACAATTAAACACAGCATGGTAATGTTGGTTTAGTAGTTTTTTTAAAGAATAAGGATATAAAGAACACTTATAAAGAGGAGGAGGCCATCCATTCGATCTAGCCTCTTTAGTAAATAGTAATTAATCTCATTCAACCATTTCTTTAAATAAAACAGGGTATTGGCTTCAAATACATGGCTGGGTAGTTTGTTCCAGACTCCTTCAATCTTTTGTGTAAAAAAGTGCCTTCTCTTCTCACTTTTAAATAGAATTCATTTCAGTTTGCACTTATGTCCAATTCATAATTCACTGTTATTTCTGAAGTCCTTTGGTTTTGCCTTTGAGGATTTGGAATACTTGAATCAGGTCCCCTCTTAGTATTTTCTGTTCAATATTAAAACTGTTCAGTTCTTTCAGCCTGTCTGACATTCTAGGAAAGTACCTGTTTTTTGGACAAAGCTCTCAGTCTTCTGGTTAATCTATGTTGCAAACTTCAGCTATGGTCACAAGCTTTGAGTGGTGACTAAAATGCGATCACAGATATAATTGGTGCGAATTAGGTTTCTCCTTCGGGCTGCTGGGCTTTCACTCCATGACAGGGTGAGGAGCTCAACTATCTGGGAGGATCTTGGAGTAGAGTTTATGTTCCTACAGTTTGAGAGAAGCCCATTGAAGTGGCTTGGGCATCTGGTAAGGATGACCCCAGGGCAACTCCAGTGCACTGGGAAGAGACCCTGGGGCAGATCCAGGACATGCTGAAGGAATTATATCTCTCAGCTTACCCGGGAATGCAGGGGAGTCCCTTAATAGGAGACTGTTGCTTTGGAAAAGGGAAATCTGGTCTGCTTTGCTCAACCTGTTTTAACTTTGACCCTCACCAGGAATAATCAGACAGAAAATGAGATGAGATGTAAGTGATGTGTTAGCATAAACACTTTTTTTGTCAGTGGTTTCTTCAAGCACAGTGTTTTCCTATTTATATTTCTAGTTTACGTTCTTGTTATCTGCATGTAATATTCTACTCTTCTCTTCATATAACACTGTCTGGAAGGTGTTTGCCCTATCTTTAATTTCATCTTCATCTTTTTGAAATGTCTTTGCTTATAATATTTCCTTCCATTGATCTGCCAATTACATTATCAACTATACCAGAGTCAAATACAAATTAAAAACAGCAGTGGTCTTAATATAAACCCCTGTGGTACTCACTGTAACATTTTTCTCAAATGAAAGATAAAACAATGACCAAACTAAAAGTTTATGCAAGAGCTCTTTTCTTTGAGTATGGACATAATGCTATACATTACCTGTGCTGTACAAATGTGCTATTGTTTCCCCGAGGTGCTGTACACCTGACAACTACAACAATGTTAACTTGGTTATGATAGCAAAGTGTTTGGATTACTCAACATTAGTAAGAGCAGTTTAATTGTGAACTGAATTATTACAATTATTGAAGTTATAAATTAGAATTTCATTTTAAATACTTTTACCTGGGTGGGTGAAGTGCTCAGCTGAGTGCAGTAGGGGGATTTCACTATACTCTATAACAAAAACTCCATTAATTGAGATAGATATGTGAATTAACTGTATATATTAATAAGAAATTATAAGCCCTAGAACATGGCACTCTTGGAGGTGTTTTATATTGAATGGCTGGTTGTGTTAAAAAAATTGTTTTACTAAAAATATTAGTTCAGTGGATTTGCTGCCTCACACTACCGTAACAGCCTGAACTACTGACAAGGCATTCCATATTTTCACTGGTCTTGAAATATAAATGACATTAATTATTAATAGATAATACAAACAATTTTAACTGTTCACTTCATATGTACTAGTCAGCTGAAATATGACAGTGCATACAGACCCCTACGGGGCCATCCCTGGACACAGGCACACTAGGCAAGTGCAAATGCATTTGGTATTTTATTTGGTTAGATCCATGTAACAGAAGCAAAGGGGAGTTTTTCAGAACTCAACATGATTAAAAAAACATACCTGAGTTCAGGCATGGCACAAGACTGCCTCAGTGGACTGGCCATCATGAGCATCAATCATGCAGTGGGTGGACTACTATTGTATGAAAATGTAATTGATGAACTTGCCTCCCTTAATTTAGGTGAATTGATTTCTGAACATTTTTATAAACCTTTCCCATCTACTCAGCCTTACCAATCTCACATCAGCCTCAATTCCACTTATTAAGTGTAATAATTTCTTACTTAAATATGTATTTATGTATCAATTCCTTTCTACAAAGGTTTCAATGCAGTAATTTGTAAGTTATGATTTGCTATAATTTTGAAGTAACATATTCTGTTTATCATTATTTTTTATTACTAATGTTCCTATTTATGACTTTCAATGTTAAAATACATGTTATCCTTGTATAATTTGTGTTTCTTGTTCATGTTTGTAACTTGTTTTGAATATAGGGCACATAAAGTATTTTTTATACATTGTCATATTACTGATCAATACTTTGTTAGTACAGGATAATATACATGATCATTTACTCAGGTCAGAGAGTATGTGAATTTTAATTTGAGTCAATGCAAAGGAGGAAAAGCTTATTTTTCTTTGAATGAACAGGTTAAAGTACAGTATACGAGCAGAAAACAAGTATCACATCTTTGCAGACTCTTAAATCTGGAAACCTGAGAATTAGTGTTTTCTGTGCTTTCTCAGACTGATATTTTTCTTTTTATCCTGACAGACAACTGACTTGGCTGAAGTGCCTGAAGAATCTGATGGCCACAGCCTGCCAGGGCACACAGGGCACACAAGGAAACTCAGTGACAGTGGTGAGTCATTTATTTTGCATGGCAGTTTTAATTAAGTTATGCAAAGAAAATAATTTAACAATTTAACAAATCACTTAATGTCCAGTAGACACAGAATATTGACTTTCCAGTCAGTTGATATTTCAAGATTTAAACTAAACACATCATCCAAACCTTTTGTTTTTGAGATGTGTTTTTAATCTTTTTATGCACATACTTCTGCATAAATATTTGAACAGAAATCTACAGATCCAGCCATTCAATATGAGCGAGGTACGCTGCGTTAAAACATGGTTGACAAAGCGCAACATACCACAACATACAGCATGTTTTTTTAAATAGGATAATAGTATCCGGAAGTACCTTGTAAAACTGCCAGGTGGAGCTAATAAAGTTCAATGTCTCATTTACAGCATTTGAGCTGTCACCAAAAAACACCCGTTTTCGAGTGCTGGTCCCTGCTGAGAGACAATCTTTTTCCATCTAAGAACTTAAGGTGTATACTGCTTAGACTTTTAATAATTTTGAACTGTGTATTACAGCATGTTAAACATTAAAAAGTTGGTATATTTTATAAAAGCAAGATTGCTCAGTTGGACAAAAGTTCACACTTCCACCTTCTTCATTAATAATTTAATTATGTATAAATATATTATGCATCAAAGTCTTTAACTTGGTAACTTACAGTGGGTTCTGGTTTTAATGTGCTTGTTCTAACATTATTAAGCTTATATTCTGTACTTCATAAAAAGTTATAAAGTTTGATCCTTTTCTAAGAATATGTAGTAAGAACACCACTTGCTGTTATTGTAAAAAGATAAATGTTGTAGTGATTTAACAGCATGTGAACATACATGATTAAATTGATATTTAATCATGTAACCAAGCAGCTAAAGTATCACAAGAAGACGTTTTGGAAACATTTTGACAACTGTTTCTTTAAAAAAACAAATCTTCTATTGTCCTTGTAGTGGTAATGAGCACTGTAATGTAGTGAGCTGCACTTAGGTGGTTCAAAGCGCGATATGAGCATTACTTTCGGTTTGTTTCTCCTATAGCTGAATGCATAAAAATAGTCCACTATTATAGTTTATTGTGAACATGATGTGTCTCTTTCAGGTTTACATCCGAGAAATTTACATTGAGAAAATCTATATTTTGTCTTAATACAAATGTCAGCAGCCAGTAATCAGCCAACAATTTACAGTAACTTTGAATTTCAAAAACAGTTTAAACTGTACTATATAGTAATTGGAATTGAACTCGGTCTGTCAGCATCATTCAACAGAGAACAAGCTGGACGAATTATTATACGTGATGGTTTTGTGTTTAAGGATTTCTTCATGAAAATATTTCAATTAAATGAGGGAGGGGGGAAGGGTTATTTTTTACAATTGCCAGTAATCGGAGAACAGCTTATCAACACGATTGGCAAACAATTCTTTTAATTTTTAAAAACGAAATAAAAAATAAGATTCGATGAAGTGTTCCTGCCTAAAACATTGCATGACTTTAAAAGCCGTAAAAAACTGGTTTAGATAGTTAAAAGAACACTTTTTATGTGCGAAAAATGGGTGATTTTTCTTCCTCATGATCATCTTAGAATCTTTGTGTACACTGTAAGATTTTTACTTTATAATTAAACGTTTGAAATACTTGAATTTCATAAACACAATACACATTTCATACAGAAAAAAATCACATTCTCTTCTCTTCTTGTTGTGTAGGACAAATCAGTAGGTCTTTTTTCCCAATCAGAGGCTGTGAAAATATCACACTGCCCACTGCGTTCCATCAGAGGGGGGGGCGGCACCGAGAGAGGGAGGAGGAGCAGTACAACATGCGCAAGCTTTCTAAAGCACAGAGTGCAAATGGCACCAATTGCGTCTGCATTTATCACTTAGTTTTTTTAATTAAACAGCGTAAACAATTATCTTTGTCTTCTTAGTCACTTAATTAACTTTAAGCATAGCTTTCTCACCATTTAGATTTATGTTTCATACAATCCTTAAACAAAGCAGGAGCATATTGTACTTCCTAATGGCATCACACTTGGAAAGATTAGATTGTAAGTGTTTTGATTTATTAAAATACATGTTATCAAAGTGTCATCTATACAAATGCCACAAAACTATTCTCGATTGTATTTCTGAATGTTATGGCACACTTAGTTCAACATTTTCAATACATCTAAATAAGAAAGTCAGGTGTGAACATAAACGATTAATAATCAATAATATTAAAATTAGCACTCATAAATTGTTGCACTTTTTCAGCATCTTGTAAAAATATTAATTTACAAATCATTGTTCAAATGTACATGACTATAGAATAATAAGTAAAATACAAAATTAATAAAGAAAAAATAGGGTTTTAAAATATTGTTTAAAATAGTTTGCTAATAATCAACAATTAATAACAATCGTAACAATCGTAATCGTAAAAAATAAATATATTAACTAAAGAATCGGATGACACAATGGTTAGCATGCCTTTTGTATGTTTGTTTGTTCTTTCATCAATACAACAGTAGCACCACATGTCTCAGAGGCTTTCAAAATTAAATTATGCATGGAAATCTTTGAACTAGAAAGATGACTAAGATATCCATCCATTTTTAATGGTGGTGCAGTGAGGCTGTGCTGAGGCTCTAGGTTCAATTCCTGAGGTATTGTACTGTATGTGTGGAGTTTGCATATTTTCTCTGGGTTCATGTGGATTTTCTCCAGGTAATCAAATTTCCTCTTGCAGTCCAAAACATAATGGTAGGTTAATACTGACCCTGGTTTAAGTGTGGGTTTGTGTCTGTTTGTCTGCCCTGTGATGGACTGACACTATGTCCAGGGTATATCCTGCCGTGCATCAGTTTCTTGCAGGGATAGACTCCAGCTACTCTGTAAAGGATAAGGAGATTAGAAAATGAATGGAACTAAAGGAACTGTGTAACTACTGTATACACAGTGATAGAAACCCACTTTGAGATGGCAGGATCTCATTGAGGATAAATTATTGTATAGTGCTGGTTTATGGAGTCAGCCTTTCCTCTTCTCTGGATCTCTGGATCTGATCAATCTAACTACCTATTTTCTGTGCTTTCTCTGTCCTACTTGATTTATAATTATTCTGAAAATCTTCTTCTTGAAATGGGTCATTTATAAAAACCTATTGTCACTGTTAACATATTGCACCAACTCTGTGACAAAATATACACTGAGCTCAACCTGACAGCTGCTGAGTCCTTAATTTAAAGTTTTGATCCACCCGCCGAACTTGCAAAAAATATATTTCATTGTCAGCTATTACTGTTGCACAATGTATTGTTGTGCATTTGATAAATCCATTTTGATTTGATTTTTAAGCTGTTTAATCAGTGATCACTGAATTATTGCACTTGACATTACTTAATTCAACCCCTTTCCTGAATGTCTATGACAAGCATGTCTATGACTGCGCTCAACAAGCTTAGGGAGAACACAAAAACGGCTCTTCCTCCCAGGAAACATTTTGAAACATTTTTACATGTTCCTTTTAACTACATTGCTGTCGATACTGTTGCAATAGGCAGTGAAACCCTCAGAGTTTGTAATGTAGGGCGATCTGAACGAGTTCAACTTTGATGCAGGACAAATAAATGTATTTCCCAAAAGCTATACTGTAGTGGCTTTAAAGTATACAATATTGCACTATATGCATGTGGCAGGTCTTTGTTGAAGTTTTAAAACTATAGTTTGGAAAAACGAGTGTTTAGAAAAATCAGGACATTTGATTGTTGGTTGTCAAATGTTAAAGAGCAACAGTGACAACACAACATGCTACTGAAAGTTCGTTCCCATCCCTTGGGCAGAACTGTCTATTCTACATAACAAACACAGCGGAGTGTAACACTTTTAGCCTTTGTGAGAAGTATGGGGCTGCATTACATAAAGTGGCTGCAATGGAATATACTGTAGTAGGAAAAAGCTAATTCCAAGCTGAAAATAAAAGACTCAATGTGTCTCATCTATAAATCTTCAGCTTACAGACCATCCAAGGTCATTTATTATTAATAATATCTTCCATATTGCATTACAATTGGAACATTTTTTACCAATGTAAATCCACCTGTCTATTTTCTCACCACTTTATCCAGGACAGGTAACAGTTTCACCAATACTATTCGGTAACATTTTTTTTTTATTTTGACAGGCTTCAGAATGCTTTGACTGATGATTAAAAATGTAACGTAACAAATGTAACAAATGTAACATTGTAGTAAAAGAGCTATTGAGCACAGAACATCTTTTCACCTGTGAAAAGATTTGCATATGTAGTTTATTCTTATCTGTGTGAAAACAGGAAATACAGAGGGAGTTTCAGATACTAAACAGAGGTCTGGAACACCCTGTCTCAAACATAGACGTTTAATAAATTGAAAGTTCTGAAAACGGTGACAAATCAACCTGAACAAAATAAAATTTTAAAATACAAGTGGTTTGAAAATATTAGTTGTTATTAATAAATCACTTTAACTTTGAACATGTTGTGATATTTAGAAATACCAAAGAACTCAATATAGTGTTCATAATATTTACTATTTTAGTTTTTCAAAGAAATGTTTATCTGTTAAAAGAAAACCCATACCGGGAGTTAGGTTTGAACCACTGACCTCCAGCATGCAAGCCATTATACCAACACACCTGTTGATAACTTATGTTATAGCTGAAATGGGTAGGCAAAATGTTTTCAAGTAATCATGGGTGAGTGAGTCAAATTGATACAGATGTTTACATCTGGACTACGGTAATACTTTAAGCTATATGAAAATAAATAAATCCTTAAGTATCATTATTAATTTCTTTAGATACGTGATTCCATATTATATTCTTTATTAATCAAATTCTAAAAATAATGCTTTTTTTATTATGATTTTCATAGAAAAGGTTAAAACATTATAACTTTTTATAAAGTATATAAACTTAATATAGTCAGAAGGAACACATTAAAACATTTCCTAAATAACCACAGTAAGTAACTGAATGAAA